AAGGAGAGAGAAAAAAGAAAGGTGGGGAAAAGAGATATAGAGAGCGAAAAGGAAGAAGCATGTATTCACAGTGACAGCAGCCTCAAGATTTTGCAACAGTTCATTTGAACTTTACTCTGACTAAAAAAAAAAACATTAAAATTCACTGTTTTCAAAGCAGCAGCTGGTTGAAAACAAAATCTGAGACAATGTGTTCAGATTAAAAGTAATGTACTTTTCTGCTACAAATTCAGCTACATACATTTTATTAAAATGTGTAGGTTTTTTTTACAAGGTTTTAGAAAAGAAGAGGAAAAACAATAACAAAGCTGTAATACCCATGCCAGGTCAGTAGGTGGTGATAACATCCATACTGASGAATAAAAGCTGAATAAAACCAATTAAAATTTGGGATTCTCCTAAAACAATGGTAACTATTTCTCCTCATTTCCTCTCATTAAAGGAGACAGATCCTGCTTTTAAATCCTTCTCTTTCACATATAAATCCTTCACTTGGGGTGGAACTACAATGCTTTGGTCTGAATCCCTCCACAAGCCCCGCCCCTTTTCTGAGCTGTCTCTCAGATCAACTTGTTTTGAGGCTGCCTCTTTAAATCCAAACAAGGTGCTCCTTATTTAGAAGTTCCATCACAAATACTGTTGCATCATTGTTCAGAAAATATAGAATATAGAGAAAACTAAACCGGTTGGAAACTMTGACCCAAACAGAATACAAAGATATCCACAATATATCTGCTGCTGATTGGGGAGAAACTAAATTCTAATTTTCTGCYCTCRTAGAAACTCCAAGTACACAACAAAAWGTATTTAAYGACTAAAAAAGTGGATGATGTGTCCCATTTAAATACAAGTTTCCTAGTCTAGGTCAGACGTAGACAAACTAGTAAAAAAAACAAACTGCTGTTATCTTTATAGCAAGCTTAAAACATGGCGCTTTTTCAGGATCTGCTGGTGCTCAAAGTGTCTGTTGGGGATCACTCTCAGCTACCACCCCATTAAATTTTAGCTCCATATCTATAAACGTCAGTAAGCAGACATTTTTGTGCTTGCTCAAACTGATTGCTGTGGAAGTGTGCATTCGTTTGTTACGTTCATTAAAATCTCTCCAATGGTAAATGGGATATTTTGCTAACAGACAAACACACAGGTAAGTACTGGTAAAAATTTAAGTCCTCCTATGCTTTTGCTTTGCATCGTGTCTGTGTTAGTGTCAGCAGCCTCCTTATACTATGTAAAAAGTTAAAAACATTTGATATGATAATCCAGTATAAAATTGTAGGGAAGTACAGTAAACATGTATAAAACAATCTTTTGTCTCAGATTGTTTTCAACCAGCCACTCATCACAAAGTTCAGAGGGGAGTATTTTTTTTATGACTTTGAGGGACTACCCAACAATGAACTGCAGCTGCCGGAGGCCGTTCAGGCAGTTATATCGACATGAGGAGCAGTAAGTCAGGATGGAGGTGAGCCAGAGAGCGACAGGTACCTCTGCTGAGCCCGTCGGGCCCTCGCAGGATTCGGCACTCCTCGATCTGTCCGAACGCAGAAAACATGACCCGGATGTCGTTCTCGTTGCACTTCTTCGACACCATGCCAATAAACAGCTTCCTGTCCTCAACAGCTGGAGGAAGAAAATGGACAAAGCTTGAATTATAATTTTGTTCTTAATCTCTTTAGTTCAGGAGTTCACCTCGATTAAATGTATGCATTTGGTTAAAGCCACAGTTCAGGTTTTCTCTAGTGGGCTTTTGTAGAAAGACTATAAACATTTAGTATCTTACCTGCTGTAGATAGCTCACTGACTAGTCTCAGTTTGGAAACAAAATTAGAACTCTCACAAGATTGATTAAAGTTAATCAATGTGAGGAAGAGACTAAAATAGATGGCTACCTCCTTAAAAACAACTCTCATCATAGAGAATAATTTGAATATTTTTAAAAACAGAAATTTTCTGTGGAATATGCAACTCCTGTCAGAGTTTTTGGTAACATAATCGAAGATGATTAAAATCTCAGTGTTTTTTTCTAKATCTACGATTACATTACACAAAACYTTTCGGATAAAATATTTTAAAACATACCCACTCTCACTTTGTGCCTTAGAAACAGAAACAAATCTGAAGCCGTTTTTAGCTCTTTCGTCTGGACGTGTTTTGTTTTATCCTGATCTTGATGCYGTCAAAATTTGATTGTGTGATAAACTGGTAAATAACAGATTTTTGGGAGAATCTTCAGCCAAGCTAACGTTTCTCTGTATTTGGATTTTAATGTGGACAATATCGCCACCTACTGGATCAATATAGGTATTAAAATTTCTAAGAATATCTGATTTATTGGACATGAGACTAGATTATTCTAGAAGTTCTTCGCACACCTTTACGTCTTCAGTTTCACATTCCACAGTTATTTAGCTATTTTTCTACGGTTAAAACTAAGAATAGCGACATTAGTAGCTAGCTTTAGCTTTAGCAAGTTTATAATGTTTCTGCCAGAAAAGCCCCATAACGGGAAATTTATGGTAGTTTTAAAGTTTAGAAGACAACATTTACAAGGATTGCTAATAACCTTTGACCCTAGGTTTGTTTTAAGATGGCAGCAAACCTTTTTGGACTCATCTATCGAGGCAGAATTATACAAATTTTTTGAACAGTGCTCTCTACAAACAGGTAATTGTTCATAACATTTCCACAACAGCCCACTCCATAAAATCTGAGCTATTCCATTATTATTTTTTWATTTTACTTGAGTTGTTTGTTTGGCTCATTAGCCAAACAGCTGTTGACTAAAATGATCCCTGAACTGTGGCCCCAGGAGTTGTTTTGACTCAAGGGCAGCAGGAGTGTTAAGGATAAATGACATTTATTTTACGTTTTTGGTTAGAAATTCAACATCCAGCAAACAAAATAATTTGGAGTAAAGCTGATTGTTGAGAACATATAAAAATTTTTTAAAAAGTGCAAAATGAGACGAAACAGAATAACAGAAAGGGGAAAAAAAAGACAGTTCATGTATTTCATCATGCCATCTGCGAAGCTCTGATCAATGTCTCATTATCACTTCAACACGACTGATCTCYGAGACTCTCCAGCTCTTCCTCCCGAAACCTCTCCTCCTCTTCCTCCTCTGTTCTCCCTCATGGATTCCTCTCCTTCTCCTCCGCTGACACAATCCCCTCCGTCTCGGGTGCAATCTCGAGGAAGGAAAGGCGGCTGCAGGGGTTAACGTCTGAGAGGGCAACAWCGAYGATGTGTGTGYGTGTATGTGTTTACGTCTTCCCACCAACGTTCAAATGTAATGCTAATCCAATTCATTTTTAATGAGGAAACTGTCAGCTCTTACCGCGAGGCGAAAGAGATAAGCGGCCGGTTGCACTCTGGGAAATCAATAGTGCACTTGTTTATTTTACTGTTTGAATTGTTTGAGCAGTGTTTAAAAAAAAACACGGGGATACGCCGCAGAGATAAGTGTTGTTTCAAAAAGCTTTAACTCCTTTGTACACAGCATGCTGTGTGTACGCATCACTCCGGAGGATGATTACCGCACGTCTAACAGCGATGTAATTAATTTACTCTGTGTCGATACAGAGCAAAGAACGGAGATATCGTTGCTGTCGACTGTTTGCGTGTTTTCGGACGGGGCGTGCTGGCAGGCAGGCGGGCGGGCGGGCGATAAGACTCATGACTCTCAGATAATCTATAGCGCATTCTGGGAAAAATGATGTCGAGCTTTAAAGAAAAAAGCTAAAGAAAGCCTTAAAGGGGAACAAAATACTCCACACCTCCCCGCTTCTCTCCCTTTCTTTCATCTCCTCCTCCTGACTAAACTAATACACGTCTTCGCAGTCGTTCATCACTGTTAAAGCAAAGCTAACAGCAAGTTTATTAAAGGTCGTTACTGTTAAGTGGARGGAAATGTATCGTGAGCTGAGCTCTATATTTCAGCCTTCCAGCCGTGAGCTTCTTTATTAAGTTCCACCATCTTTACCCTGACAGTTATGTCTCATAAAGTCRCCATATTTCAGTGGAGCGGGTGATGGCTTTTAAAAGAATTCAGCCTTCCTTTCTTTTTTTTGTCTTCTCCTTCAGACCACAGTGACACCAATGGTGTGCAGCCAGAAGTAAAGCACAGCTATGAAATCCTGATATGAGATTAAAACGACCACTCCCCCCACCCCTTCCCAGTCATGGTTTTATAGTATCCATTATCACGTTCTGCTCAATTTACTCAGCTATAAGGGTCATCAAAACTGCACAAACTCCCATTTATTCCACTTAGCCGTGCAAATAAATTAGGTTTAATTTGCCCAAATTTCGGTTGTTTGTTASTGATATCTTTATTTTTGCACGACAAGTTAAAAGTCCAAATTGAGGTCTCCTGCTTAGCCAACCAAAATAATCAAACATCTGTTTCCAGAATGATGGTAATTATTTTTTATTTTAGAAGCAACTTTTAATCTTTTAAACCCATAAAAAATGTATGTTTTCTGTTATATGTGAGCAGCATCAGCTTGTGAAGCAGTGTTTGAATGACTCAAGTACTAAAAGAGCTTAACCGTTTGTTTAAAACAAGCTGTACTTCATGGTGACACGGTAAGCAATCAAAACAGCTCACAAACCTTGAGGTTTCTAAAGTACTTAAATAAAAGCACTTGGTTTGAAAAAGTCTGATTGGTGCATCCTTTAATCTAAAAAAATAATACAGCTTAAAATGGCACCACCCAAACCCTCCCCCTAAGGCAGGGCTATTCAACTAAACTGCTCCAGGGGTCACAGTTACTGCAGGTCAACAGCTCAGGGGCCGAACACCCAGCAATTAAAGTTATTATGTAAATAGACAAAGCATTATAAAGATCTGTTACCTTTGAAATAGTTTGCTTTGCTGCATTTATTCATGAATACAACCCTATAAAAATAGTGATAATTAAACAATATCAAAAACAAAAAGAACACACTCTGCACTTAGTTTTGTCTTCAATTGCGTGTAATTATAACTGTCTTGAGTGTGCATAGAAATGTTTTTTTTTACCAACTTCTAGCCAAGATTCTGACATTTMTGTAGATACCACACATGTCTATGTTTAACTAAAAGAACACATAGCAAATAAAGTAGAGATGAATGAACCAATTGGTGGGCCAAACTTTGGTCATTCACGGGCCGGATTTGGCCCGCAGGCCACCAGTTGACTAGCCCTGCTCTAAGGGTCTTTCAAAGTTTTTCTTTGATCTTGAGCTACTTTTTCACTATTTTTCTGTCCAGCAATGTACCTGAGCATGACAGCCTACAAAGGAGGAAGAAAGTGAACAAATGAAGGACAAAAGAAGGAGTTTCAGGCCTAATAATCTACCTCCAGCAGATAAATGGTTTCTAAAAGTTGTGACTTTTAGAAACAAAGTAAATCCAAAGACCAAACATCTTTTTGTCGACTGGCTGTATGATGAGGTTTCAGCCATGTTTGCGGTAAAATGCTGCTTTTTTGTCAGCCAAACTGTTATCTTTGGTACTTTTTTAAGAGATTTACCTRAAGGAACGAGAACAAATTATAGTTKGTGTTTGTGACTGGTAATAAAGAGCTTGGAGATACTATTTAAAATCGTTGATTTAGTAAGTTGTCCATTTTGTTTTAACGCAACTTTGGTTCATCAAGTTTAGGAGCCTTTTTATATCTAYATGACTGGTCAAACCAACAAACAGAAATATTCATCTGAATATGATATGGTAGACAGAAAATAAGTGAAAAAGCAGCCCATGTCTACAGAAAAAAAAGCTTTAAAAGACCTTCAGAAAGCCTAGAGAATAATAAATCAGGACTGTTTTAAAGGATTCTAGGTTTGCTTGGCMGTTTGGAAGGTAAATATAAAAAAATTGAGGGCTGGATCAGGACTTTTAAACAACTCTATACATAAAAATTGGTTTTAAAAATTATTACAACCCAGTTGTGTTTGGACTGAGTGCCCCAATGTGGTCTGCAAGCACTAAAATATTTATAAAGACTCTAACGCATCCGTACTGTTCATGAATAGAATAATGACAGACGGATTCTTGAAAGAAACAAAGACACTTCCTGCAGTGTCCCGTCCGGCACACTCCTGGTTAGAATAAGAATGAATGGAAGAAGACAGCCCGTAAAGGAAATCAATTCAGAACTGGATCTGCAATATGTAGTTTGGAAGCGGGGCTGATCCTCTGACTGGGTGCTTGTGYTCGTCTGAAATAGATGCATTGAGTCTGTTAGAGAAGAGGCGAGTCTGTATGTGTGAGCGGCCACGGGGGCCTGACTCTGGTTCAGCACAAGGCTAAAACCATTCAACTTTCACCGACCTCCTTCCACAGCCTCTAAATAATTTACTGCACATAAGAAAAAAAAAGATATATATAATAAATCCAACGTTTTCCCTTCTGCCTYTTTCTCAGTCTTCCCTGGTTCCTCGTCCGATCTGCCCGTCAAGCAGCGAAAACACACAAGTGAGATCGCTTTTACCGAGCTATCCCAAAGGGGGCTATTGATGATGTCCTTGTGTTTGTGTGTGTGTGTGTGTGTGGTGGGGGGGGGGGACTCACCATTAGATTTCTCACTGTCTGCAGGTTTCATCTGAATAGGGTGATGCATCTGTGGAAACAAAAGAGGGACAAAAACAAACCATTAAATATCACCTTGACACATGCATAAATACGGCGAGGCATGCCGAGCTGCAGAACGCTCCAGCTCCCCTCATGTGCAAATTAGAGCTGAATATCAGTCAGCCGCAAATGTCAGCGYGAGCAACTGCTTTGGTTTTGGTTTTTAGATTCCAAAAAACACTTCAGTCCAGAGGGTAAAGGTTCTGGATCGACAAGTGGTTTGCTAAAGGGATCGCAAAACAAAAAAGTTCAAAGAAGGTATAGTGTGAGGAACATTGACATRATAAACGGCAAGAACATGATCAAGAACAAAGAGATGCAGAGCAAGAAGAAATAAAATGTCATCTTAATACTTAATATTTGAATTGGATTCTGGTTCCTCGTTTCGATTCCAGCTCCCAATGATTCTTGATTTTTGCTACATTTTTGAGGCGGTGTCAAAAAAAAGTACAAGGTTTAGATTAGGGAGTTAACCAGAGTTCTTTCCGGATGCAATTATATTAATTTCTCTAAGAATATTAATTCTTTTAACTTTTTATGAACAAATTCCTCACAAGGCTTTTATAAACCCCAAWATAAATATCAAACAGAGGAGGGAACTTGAGTCACATGAAAAAATGTTCAGAGACTTTTGACTTGACTTGGACGAGACTTGTTCCCYGACCAACTGTCCGTCTGTCCTCTGGTGCTTCTCAGYACTCAGGCTGCGGARGCAACAGGTTCAGGAGGGAAACCTTGACAYCCCAGTTCCCAGCTTCTCCTAGAAGACCTCAAGCTGTACCCCAGCCAGAGAGAACATTTAACCTTTCCAGTGAGTCCTGGGTCTGTTAGGGGTCTCCTCTCAAATGGACATGAACAAAAAAATCTCCAAAGGAAAGACATCAAACGCCCAAACCACCTCTATAACTGGTCAGAATATGTTGGGATTGGGATTTTCCCATCTCTCTCCCAAAGCAAAGGTCCAGAGATGATGTCCAGAAATCAGAGAACAATAGAGACGGCCTTGGGAAATAGTTTTATTTCTTGTTCCTGCTGGTTAGAAACAGGTTTCGAGTCATATATTTAAACCTGATCAGTTCTGTCTGAATAATTAATCAAACTTTCTCAAAAAAAAAAAAAGAGCATCACATATYTGTACTTTTGTGAAATAATAAAYCTGCAAACTTCTCACACACGCTATTAGAGGAATTGTGATTATCTAGACAGGTTTGAATCATCAATACTGAGTGTATTAATAGGTAAACACAGGGAAGTAATGTGGAATTTGAAGCCCAAACAACAAACGATGAGCCGTTTTATTGAATAACACATAAAAACACACTTCAGATATAGGAGCTAACTTGGAATGACCCTGCAGTTGCATGTTCAAATAAGCATTTTTCTAATGGTAATTAGTTGCATGCTGCCTAAAGCCATGTCACCATTAGCGTGTGCAGGAGAGGGACTTAACTGGTTTTAAAAACACAACATGGCAGCACCTGTAAAACAAAAAGTGCTGGCTTTAATTTTGTACAACAGACAGAGATGTCACTAATTAACCTCATGTGCAGGTGTTCAGTGAGAAGAAGCTTAAGAGCCTGAACTAAACTATAAAAAACCACCGTTGTGTACTGGAAGAATTTTAAAAGAGCTGATGTGTTTTCAAGAAAAAGCTCCTCCTTTTTATTAAAAAAAAGAAGAAAGAAAAAACACTTCAGTGATGAGAAGGCTTTGTCACCTCTCTCAMCCTTCTCCAAACTCTCCTCGTCTGTCCCTTTTTTATTCCCTCCATCTCTCTTTCCTTTATGGGAGATTATGTGGCTGTTTGATCTGCGGAGAGACGAATGACAGCGATTCTCCAAATCTAGCCCGGTATCAATCACACTCAGAGTCAAATACCAGCCGTGAGTGAGTGTTTCTGTAGGTGTGTGTGTGTCTGTAGGAATGTGTATATGTCCYGTCTCGCCCATTATGCCCCTGGGCTCAGTCACGCTGTGACAGAGGGCTTTGATCTTCCAATTCTATCACACACCTTTATCCCAACTCTCCCTCTTCTTGCTCTCTTCCTTATCATCTTCACTCTGATTTTTTTTTCCTTCTCGCAGGCCTGTCCCAGATGCGCGCACACACACACGACCCACATCTAAGCCTTTGATTGGTCCCGAAACTTGCCTGATGGGGGCAGTAAGCAGTGGAAGATGAAATAAGAAAGGGACTTTTAAAGACAAAAACAAAACAAAAAAGGGGGGCGGGATGACAAGGATAGGATGCTACATCGAGAGGCTACCGATCCTTGGTGAAAGTGGAGCAACTGGATTCACGTTGCTTTAAAGTGGGGTGCACATTTACAGACCTGTTTCAAGCTTTTTTTWAACCTAAAAATACTTCTTTAATTCATCTAATCAGTCAAATGCATTTAGTCRACATACCATGGAGACAAGACATGGAAGAGATGAAAGAGGCTTATCTRAAAAATTATAACACTTCAGGATCTCTAACTGTGAAGATGGAGTAGAGTAAAAACAGTGCTTGATTTCTTGCTATTCAGGAGCAAAACATATCCACAAGTTGGTAAAAGTTGGAATTTTCATCWCTGAATGCTGATTAGATGCAGCCTTTTGAGCATGTAGGTCTGCGAGCCTCAAAGTATTTCATGTTGAAAATACATCTTGGCTAAAATCTGACTAWATTTGCCCCAAAGCTGAATGCTTTCTAAATGTCTAAAGCTAGTGTCGGGTACCAAATAGAGGTATGCATTTAGATGGGAATGGTTTAAAAAAAAAGAGGAGAAGGAAACAACTAATACAGGGTTTGAATGTGCGTATATCTGGTTTTAAGAACTCTTTACATCTAACTGAGTTAAACAAATACACTTTAGGCTTTTTTGCACGGTGAGGCCTGGTCCGGCTTCAAACCCGGGTTCAAACGTGTTGGTTAGCCTTTATGGCCCAATTCCACCCCAATTTCTGGAACCCCAAGGTTTGTGATTCTATTCAGGCCAGCCTTAGCCTGGTTTAAACCAG